TATTTTTGAAAGCATTCTTGCTTTACAGCATTTGTTCGCACCTGCCTAAAACTTTTGCACTGTACTGTATATTCTCTAATTATTTAATTCAAAAAATACTTTAAATGAGACAATATTCCAAATTTAACTGTCCTTTTAGTTCACTTTTTTAAACTTTCTTATTCCAAAATCCCAGTATGCTTTTTGCATTTAATTCTTTTAAATCTTTATAACTGGTTCCTTCCTTTTTCATTTAGTCTTTCCTGGATTGAAGGTACACTCACCCCAGTGGCCTTAGGTGCTCTGTTGCTCTGAGGGTCTCTTTATACCTTTAAATTTGCTCCATTTAAACATGCTTTAGAAAGTGGATCATGCAGACCAAGTGTCCTTTAAATAGGTTTCATGCAAGCCTGTGAGTGTGGTGTCTTCTCCCACGGCTCCTGGCGCTGTACTCGCAGGTCACCTACAGGGTCCCTCTGGACCCTGCCCACCCAGAGCTCATGTGGGCAATCTCATGGCTTCTCTTTGTCCAGAGAAGCTCTCTTAGCTCAGGCATATCGCCCAGCTGTCGGTCTTCGCCTCTGCGTCATCCCTGCTATTACGCAGAGATGTGCTAGTCTGCCATGTTTGCACCCTGAAGTCTTAAAGGATATTTTCTCAAAGTTTATATGGATTAGTGAAGCAGCCTCTGAAGGGTATCTAGCACATTCCCTTAAAGTCTGTGTGGCTTTTCAGGGACATTTTTCAGTACAGATTATTTGAAAAGTGCTCTATGAGATGAATAAGATAAATAAATATGTACAAACATTGATGACTTTTGGTGGGTGAGTACTTCAGAAAGTAGTGATAATCACCTATTCTGGGACCCCACCAAATCCGATATTCCTTACAATATTCTTATATTCCTTTAAAAATATTTTTTTTTCCTGAACTAAATAGTTCAGTTTTGGGTCATAAGAAAAATTTCCAAAATTCCTTAAGCTATTGATTGGACAATTTGGCTACTCCAATTCTCTATTCCAAATTGTCCTCTCTTTTTTTGTAATAATAAATTTTCAACTTACTTTCAGAAGTCTTCTCCAACACTCTCAATTTCTAGAGTTTCAGAAGCTGCAAGGGCACTGGGGCCTTTTAAGTATTTTAAATGCCATTCAACACTCTTGATATATTGTATTCCTTTTATAAAATCTCAAAAGGAAAGGTATTATTACTTAAGTAATTAAGGCTAATAATCCATTATGTTTTCATACACAAAATGTATTGTTAGCCATTTTTAAATAAGAATTACTCCAATGTGATTCTCAATTCTCAGAGAAAAAATCAAAGTTAAATGTTCTGTCTAATAATGCCCAAATATTAAATAAATTACCTTCTGTGCTGGAAAAATGAGCAAATTCTTGCTGCAGTTAAGGTGCATCCATGTTTTGAATCAAATAAACTACAGGCATAGCAGGATTAAATCTCTGAAGCAATGAAATCTGAACCAGTTCCACATTGCCATTTGATACATCCCAGAATGAATGATCCATGTCAATGAGAGAGAAAATGACTGGAAAGATACAGGAGGGATTAGTTTGCTTTAGAACCTAATCATGTTGATCTGAAGACTGTACATTACGTTACATTACATCCAGTAAGCCATAATGAAGGTGAAGTGAAAACTCACTACTGTATTATTTTGCAAGGCATTCATCATTTGCAGTTGATTCTGAGCGGCCTATAATTCCTATTTTTGTAGTTCAGATTAAAAACAAACTGCATAGGAATGTAAACAATAATAATCAAGCCAATCCATAGGGGGAAGGGGGGGAAGAATAAAAAACTGGGAATACCACAATCAGTGACCCAAAATTTACACCATTCTTTTCCATAGGGAAAAGTCATAGCATTTCCTCCAAAGCTAAATCAGCCATGTTTTAAATTACTTTCTAAAAGCCAAGGTCAAAGGTCCATTCAGATATCTGGGGCCAAGCTATTCCAGAGGAATGGGCCTGCAACTGAAAAGGCATGCTTCTGAAGTCCCTGTAGATGCTAATCTCTGAGGCAAGAGAAACAGAGCAAAGCTGCCCTACTCAATGTTTTTGGGCAGACAACCATTTTTGGGATAAGATGGTCTTGCAAATATTCACTTTCTGAACCACAAAGGGCAAACCAGCACCTTGAATTTCACTCAGAAGCCAAATAGGAGCCAGTGCAGTTTTCAAAGTAGAGGTGTTATATGGATGTACTAAAGCATGCCCATAACTAATTCAGCTGCTGCATTCTGGACCAGCAAAAGCTTCCAGATGCTCTTCAGAGACAACTCCATGTTGAGTCCCATCAAGTACTCTAACCTGACTAATTCATGAGTGATTGTGAGTAGTGCATCCCAATTCCAGAAAAGATTGTAAGATGGTGTACAAGATATCTCTTGGCCACAATTGCCACCTGCTCATCAAGCAAGTGTTGTGAGTTCAGAAGGATCCCCAAGTTACATGACAATTCTACGTGGGGGAATATGACTTTGTCCAGAACTGAAGATGGTATCTATTCTAAGTTGGATGGCTTATGAACTCAGAACCACTCTGCCTTATTGGTATTAAGCCTCAACCTGTACCTCCCTTTTCTGGAACATAACAGCCTCAAGGCACCTAGACAGCATCACTTCACTGGCTCAAAGTCAAAATGTAAAGTTGGGGGTCAACAGTGGACAGGTGATACCTGAACCTGTGTTGATGGATGACCTCACCCAGTGGCTTCATGTAGGCGTTGATTACAAATGGGGAGAGCATCGATCTCTGTTGTATCCTACAACTGAGAGTTTAAAGAGTTGTCATTCTATAAACACTTCCATAGTCCTTTCCTATACAAAATTGTTCATCTCAGTAAAAACAGATCAATGGTGTACTGCTGGTTTGTGTTATCTTTTAAACTTTTTGTTGAAAAACAGAACTTCAGGGTAAAACTAAAATAAAGGTACAGTTAAAAAAATAATAAAGCAAGGCCAAAGCAAAAGCAAATGAAAAAGGAAGAAAAATAATCCCCACAGTGGAGGAATGAATTGTGAAAATGTCAGAATTTGCAGAAATGACAAAACTAGTCATTTAATCAAAGAAGAAAAAGCAACAAAAATTTTCCTGAAAGACTGGAAACCTTATATGGACTTTTTGCGAAAAGAAGAAAGAAAATGATGGTGTATGGATTTGAAGATTAAAAAAAATATAGATTAAATGAGGGGCTGAAGGGATTTGTATAACATCTAAAAGGGAGGAGGGATGATAAGATTGTAATTATCTGTTGAAAAGAAGCTCAGAAATCATTAATATATTTCTTTAGTTTTCCCGCCCTCTTGTTTCTTGCACTTTCTTATTTCTTTTTCTTTTTTCCTTTTTTTTCGATTTGTTCTTTACTCTATGAAAAAATCTTAATATAAATTTAAAAAGGAAAAGGAAAAAATAATTAAATTATTTACATTACTTATAAATACTTTAAGTATAAATACTTTTGTGATCTTAAAGAGAAATACAAACATTTAAAACACCTATAATAATTTCTTTAGCATAGAACAGCATTTGTACCAACTTTATTAGGAAAAAAGTGTTTATAATGAATTAATTGTGATCTTTATTGAATAAATTTATCCTTCATTGTAGGGTTTTTCAAAAGTATTTATGTTAATTTCTCATACAAAACAATTGTATTTTTAAATACCACTAAAAGATCTATTGTACTTTTCCAATGTTTTCCAATAGTAAACTTGGCTATTAATAGCAGGAATTGAATCAGTTTCTTTGAATTAATTGAATTAATTTCTTATGTTGGTATCAATTTATATGTGTTAAGAAATATAGACATTAAACCAATAGTAGGATTCATTCTGAAACACTATTGAGTGATTTTTACAAGGTTCATCAGAAACTTTGAACCAAAGAGACTGAACGCCAAATTTGTACCATTTTGAATACAACTGTGCCTACAGAATCTAGAAAAACTATAATTTATATTGTCTAATTTTAGGAGAGTATAAAGTATAAACCTGTGGGTTATCTTCATAGTTAATTTTGATGACTTGTTAAAATAGATTTTAAAACTATTCTGTGCTGCAGCATAAAAGAATTGTAAATTATCTTTCAGAGGGGTTTAAGATTAAATATTAAAGATTAAGATTAAGATTAAAACCAGAGAGAAGCTTTGGTTTTAATTACAGATAAATGAAGTGGATAAACATAATTTTTCATATGTTTTAATGGTCCTAACTGGCCAAATTTAGACTGTGAAGGAATGAGGGTACTTGACTCACTTGACATTCAGTTGTAACTTCTGACCGGTCCTTTTGCACAGTGTATTGCATCAGTAATTACATTTCTAATTCTGTAAATTCCTCTCTCTCCCCATTCCTTATATTAATCAGATTTATCCTTTGCTTTAAAGAAGGATGATTGAGGAATTAGGGTAGAGAAGAAAAGTCAGGATCCAAAGAATGTTTCCATTTTTTCCAAACTTCTAAAGTAAGTTTTAAGTATGCTTTTAAGAGAGTAGATACTATTTTTAAAAAACATCACAGAGGAATCATATCACCCTAACCAATATGGGGTCTGGTGCCAACTTAATTTGTATTCATTGAACATCATTTAGTTTTCTGATAAAATGAATTGGCTTAAGTGAAAGCCATCAAAATGTTTCGAACTTGATATATGTAAACCTTTGTCATGCTTTTGTTAATATTGAATGGTTTGCCCAATACTTGGTTTTTAATAGCTATATGTAATGAAGAAAAAGTATGTTAGTAGTGGTAGGGATAGGAATTGTCTGTCTTTTATGTAGCTTCATGGAACTGGGATACACGCTGCCCAGAAGATGGGTAGATAGAGAAGGAGCAGTTTGCTTTTCATATGTAACACACTGTAATCTCTGTTTTATTCTTTGACAGCCTCCAAAAGTAAGGTGTTTGACAAGAATCTGGCATCCAAATATAACTGAGACAGGGGAAATCTGTTTGAGGTAATTTATTATCTGAATAGCTCAGTTTTATTTTATTTTAATTTCACTGATTATGTATATAAAATAGGGGGAGAGGAAAGGGAGCACATATAGGTTTAAAAAGAAAATGGAATACCTAATACTTCTAAATGAGAAGATATTTTTCAATCTGTTTGATCAACAGTTGAGCCAAGATAATTTTTGTGGACAAAAATGATGCAAAAGATATATTAAATATAGAGCTATCCAGTCACCTGCTTCCATACATTAGTAGTCATAATCTTTCTAAACTAAAACATTATTGGCTTTATTTAATCTTCTGAAATCTTTTAATTATTAAATATGCCCTTCTATGATGAAATGGTAAATTACTTTCATTCTTTTAAGGAAAGGAAAGGAAAACATTAACTATGCACTTCCTTTAAAGAAAACAGGGAAGAATCCTATGAAAATTAGAGAGAGGTTGAAGAGAGGACCTGAGTGACAGAAAGAGAACAAAAAGAAAAGGAAGGGGGTCACTATATAGCTCCTGAAAAGGAAAGGTCAGATATAAATTTAACAAATGGAAAGAAGGAAAGAAAGAGTGAGAGTGTAACACAGTAAACTGTTATTCGGTGAATAAGCATGAGTGTTAATATTTTTATTCTTTATAAGTAAATGAGATAGATACAATGCCATTGCCCTCTGTAACTAGGTGAAGAATTTATAAACATCTTTTGCTTTAGAAGATGGGCAGGAAGAGATAGAAATCTTGAATAGTTTATAAAATAGGCAATCAGTATTTTCCATACTTCCATATAATCAGTATTTTCCATATTTTCCATTCTGTCCCCTGAAAACTTGATTTTTTAAATCTCCTCTATTTTAATTTGCTTTGGTGAGCTTGGTAATCATTAAACCAGTCCATTACCAAAAAGAAATATAAATTAAGACAAGATGGAATTGCTGTTGGTAAGGAGAAGCTGATCTTGGGGATTGATGTGAACCCTGTTTGGATGAGATTGCATTCCCCCAGAAAGAGCAAGTTCACTGTTTGGGGTGTTCCTTGACCCCCAACTGTGACTGGATTTGCAGGTGGCAGCTGTTGCAAGGAGTTGTTTGAACAACTACAGCCCATGCACCAATTCCAATCCTTCCTGATCCAATGAGCCTTAGGAATAGTTATCCATACATTGGTTACAACCTGTCTTGGCACCTTCAACATGCTTTACTTGGGACTATCCTTGATAAGTGTCTAGATCTGAATACTGGTTGCTGGATAAAATTTAAGTTGCTGAGGTTGAACTTTAAAGCCATCAATGGCTTAAGGTCTGACTATGAGGAATTGCCTTTCCTGCTATAAACCTGCCCAGTTACTTGAATCAGCAGGAAGGAACCTTGAAAAAATAGCCCTACCAACAGAAGTTCATGAGAGGCCTTTGTCTCTGTAGTTCCCAGGCTATGGAATGCATTACCCAAGGAGGTGCACTTGGTCCTCTCTTCCCCAGCATTTAGGAGAATGCATTTCTGTCTTCTCCATTTAAAGACTAGGTCTCTGACTGTGGATTGGTGGAGCTTGAGAGTTTTAGAAATGGCTTTATAACTTTTTCCAGACAGATCAGCATGCATAACTTCTTCCTGGAGGACTTCAGAAATTTCTTTTGAGCACAGCGTAATACTATTCTAGAGTCTATGAGATAGGGCAGACCTGGCTCAAATCAACACTGACTGTTTACTGAAGTACTCACATAACTGGCCCTAGTTATCTCTTTAATTGAATGAGGGGCATAATTATTTTTCATACTGGTACACTGCAGGTTGGACTTTATTTATGAAATAAATGAAACAGGCATCAAGTGTTGATGTTATTTGTTTACTCAGACTCCCTTTTCATATAAGCAGGACCCACATGATACTTAGTTAACATTCAGAGGCAGAGATATGGAAAAATTCATAAAATTCATAAAATCTGAAAGAATATTAAAGAAGTAAATACTTCTGCACAGACTGTAGGTTACTGCATGACAGACAGATCAAGCAAATGCATTTTAGGAGACATTAGTGGTCTCCCAATTAACTGCAGTCATCATTAGAGTAAGAAGTAATCTCCAGATTATGGGATGTAATAGTTCCATAGTTTTATGCAGTGGTCAGAATCTCTTCAAATACTATATCTTATTCTGAGCATCACACTTTAGAAAACATTCAGATATATTGGAATGAGAAGAGTAACAAAATTAAATCCTATGAGGAAAGATTGAGGAAACTGGTTATGTTCAGCCTTGAAAAGACTGAGTGGGGTTATGATAGCACTCTTCAAATAACTGAAAAGCTGTCATTAAAAGGGGATACTTTATCATGTCAGGTAACAGATTAATAGTCAAGTTTAGCAGAATAATAGTCAAGCAAGAAGGCAGATTGTGAGGAATATGAGAAAAAAAAGATTAGTGGTATTAACAATTTCAACAGTGCTCATTACCTGAGGAAATAATAGGCTCCCCTTCTCTGAACATGTTCAGAAAACAGATATAATTCCATAACTTCTTAAAAATAAAGTTGTAATTTTACATCTGTTCAAATTTGGTATATAATGTGTGATACTTTCTCTCGGAGCTTTGTATAATGTTGTAAATATACTTTGGCAGTACTTGTAAAATATTCATGTGCATCTACAGTATTTGCTAAGTGACTGCATGTTTTGCTATATTTATTGCATTTCTAAAACTAGTGTATTTAAAAATGTGAATTATAGTTAATGTTTTGGTATCTGTTTCAGTTTATTGAGAGAACATTCTATTGATGGCACTGGCTGGGCTCCAACTAGAACCTTAAAGGTAGTTGTATATAAATCTTTCTTTGGTTTTGCCTTGGTTATTAGAAAAGTTTCAGAAAACAAATGTTTAACAAACAATCTAGCCAAAGTAATACAGATTTTAGTGAGAGATTTTGCTCTCATCCTCTAAAATAGATAGGACTTAAATTTTACTTATTTAGAAACTTACATGGCCGCCTGTCTTATACAAGGTAATCCTAGGCAGCTGACAATAAATCTGAAACAGATTTTAGAAGTACACAAGGAACTATGGAGAAATAATCTGACTTCCCGTTTTGCTTATTGAAAGTATTGTGAGATCAGGGAGAGGTTGGTAGGTTATCTTCTTTATTAAATATTCTGCATTTTCATTGTATTTCCAGTGATGCCCCATCCAGGTTGCTGATCACGTCCATATCTACTTAGCTTCGGTGCCTCAGTAGATGTTATGGTGGTGAACTCATAGAAAAGATCCAGTTCAGTTCAGGGTATATATTATCTGATCCTTCTATCTTTTTCTCTCTGCCCCTTCCCCATTGGTTCTAATCCACATCTCTCATTCCTTAGTTTGTTGGTATCCAGAGAGGGGTGTGTGCGCTGTCCACACACAACTAATAGCAGTTAGTGTAGTGGATGAGGGAGTGGACTACAATGTAGGAAAAATTGTGGTCATTTTGAAGCTCTGGTCCATATTGCAGAACTTCTGTACAAATGGCTTTAGAAAGAAAAATACATCAAGAGATAAAATTGTACATCTTTCCCATAATGGTTAGTAATACCACAGTATCAAGTGTTCTTAGAAGATTTGTCGAATCATCACAGCAACTCTTTAATATTTGAGGTATAATATAACTATTAATGGTGTTAATGTAGATTTATTTAAATTAGTAGGATATGCACATTACTGAGCAAATGATTGCAACCTGAATCTTTAAAATACTTATTTGAAAACAATTTAAGAATTGTATTTGGGTCCCCCTCTCTGCAGATTTAGAAAATCTGTAAAAATACATCTGTCTCTCTAGGCAGTCAATTGTTAATATTTATGTTTTTGTATTTTTTATTAAAAATGTTAGCCACTTTTAGTAGAAAAGTAAAGGAAAATATTCTTTTGAGCACTTGTCCCATCACTACCCTTGTCCAGATATCAGTATGCTCCTAATCTCCAGCAGTATCCAGAGCAGGCGGAAGGCCATAGGGGGAAACCACCCATTCCTCAGCCCCAGCCATTGTTTTCCCCACCCCCTGGGAGATCCACCAGTCACACTAGAGAGAAACAAAAGTTGCTATAGATAAAAAGAAGAAAGGATAACATGTAATCTTCCTTTTAAACTTAAAAATGCAAATATTCCCTGTTGAAAAAAAGTCAGTCTTTTGTTGGTCAATAACTAGCATAAAACAGAGGCAATCACAAACAACTAATGAAAGAGGAAAAAAGTCAGAGACCATCATATCAGGTTGACATCCTAAATATGGATATATAATATTCTAACAAAATAATATTAATATTAAAACTGTAATTGTAATGCTAAAATTGTAATATCACTTAAAACTAAAACTATAATCTGAACCAAAAACTAAAAATTAGAATCTGGAAAAATATTGCATTATATTAGTGACACTAAGATACTGAATTTAAAACGCTGCACATGGTCAAGGGGGAACCTAAATTCCCTTGACATTATGTATACAGCAAGAGGATCCTTCATCATCCATCCTCCTAGTCTGTTTTGGTTAGTGAGTGACAATAGTCAAGGGGTATCAGCTCCTGCCTAATTTTGGAGGTAGTATAAAAAAAAACTTGGCAAATCCAAAGAAATGGAGAACTGAATGAAATGGAGAAAAAAGCTGCCCAGATAAGAATTTGCATGTCAAAGAATATGGATGGATATCTAGCTATGTGAGGACAGATAAAGCAGGCTCTGGAATCTCTATAAAACACACAGTATAATAAGACGTGGACAGTGGTTTCTATAGTACCTGTGCTGCATGGGCACACTGGGGCAAAGTAGGATATTTTCTTATATCTGCCTTCTAGTCAATGGCAGGACTATAAACTAAGCTTGCATTAGAGCCCTTTTCAGTTTGGAAACCATGATAGAATTTAAGTATTTCTCAGGTCTAAACACAGGAGATATGTCTTTGGGCTGGTGAGACTGGTCAGATTGTTTTTTCATGCCTAGAACATGTGTCAATATCTTTTTGGCTGCCTCATACTCTAGACACAGAAAGGCTTCCTGGGAGAATCCATAAAAATGCAACTTCTTTTTTAGATATCTCTTCCATCTGACATTGAAATTATCTACTAATATCAGAGGGGTCAAGCCTATTGACTAATAGGTAAAGAAAGTTTGCCAAATCTTGGTTTCAGTCTTAATTTCACCAGCCTCACAGTGGAGAACTACATTGGAAATGCAGTATGGAACTTGAAAGATGTTTTGTAAGAATTTAGACTGCCACAATTTCCAATTCTGAGTAATTAATTCTGTGCACTGTACTGAAATTGGGAGCTCACTTTGGCAGAGAATAGCTGTAGGACAATGGGGATTAAAAGGGTACCTCTTCATTCAAAATTCTAATTGTTCCAAAGCTGATTTTTAAGCATTCTGGGCTACATAGTCCACATGAGCACTTCTCTGCCAGAGGTCTGAAAAAGTTCCTGAAGTATTTAAATATCATAATTTCTTTGATTTCATGGCCATTTAGTTGCCACCTGTGGATTCTAGGAAGTTTAGCAGAGATCAAGGCTTTTGTCTTTGCATAGTTGATTTCTAATTCTTCATAGTTACAGTGAGTGGCAAGTGATTTTAGGGCACATTTTAATCTGGTCAAAATCTAAGCAGGATAACTATATTGTTTAATCCGGTCACGATCTAAGTAGGATAACTATATCAGCATATAGAAGCATGAACCTATGAGCTAACTTGTGGGGGAAGAAGCCAAGACTGTTTTGATTGATAACCAAATAATTTATATAGAAGTTAAATAGCTCTTGTGCCAATATTCAACTCGTCAAAGTGATTGCTTTAATTAGATGAAGGGCAGAGAAGTTGCCTAGAGTATCACTGGAGGAAAACCCATCTCAGGTCTGACTGGGCACTCATCAAGGCACCTACACATTGGCAATTCAAGTGGCCAAAAATAATTATTTTGATCTTATTGCATCTGCTCAATGTGGCTCAGTGGCACTTTTTAAGGTGACTTATTGCCTTTTAGGGAATAATGATCTCCAGGAGCATCTGAAGGGCCTTGTGAAGAATACTTGCAGCATTTAAAACTGCTCAGATTTGAGCAGACCTGGGCAGTGGACAGTGCAGATGACTGGAGCTAAATGTTGTGAAATAATCTGGGATCAGTGTGAGTCTGTTGAGGCTTGAGGAAACATATAAATTATAATGTCACCTCCCCTCCTTCTCAGCTGGATTCCTGCCCCTTGTAGTTAGTTAAGGCCTCTTGTGAGGTTATGGAGGTTGGATTTGTATATAATTAACACCTCTTTGAGTGAGGATTCACCTCCCCCTCTAATCATCTTGAATAGGTCAAGTCCCTCCAGAACCCATTGATATAAGAATGTCATCTGACAGGGCCTTAGCCATTTTCAATCACTAGACTAGACTTTCATGCTATTAAAGAGAAGGAATTTTTAAAACTTTTTTTTGTTATCTATTTTATTAATGTACTACTTTTATTCCCAGTGGTAGGTTTTTTCTTCTTCTTTAGAAAAATCGAATCTTACTGAGTGATAATGAATTTTATTTTTATTGTTTTATGTATGGTTTTATGTACAGAAATGCCAGAGAATCATTATCAATCAGTTTCATTGTCCTTTTTACAACCTATATCACATCCTTTCAATAATCTCATGTATACAGCTATAAATAGTACAAAATATATTTTTTATTGGCTTATTAACAGTGGGTTGAATCCAGTTGGTATAATTCCATTAACAGAATAGTCTTTGATCCTCAGAAGATTTCTATCAGTGGAGCAGGGAAGACACTGGTTGTTAGCAGTTCTCCTCTGCAATAATTATGGAACAGTACCACATTGTTTCAAAGAGTCCCTTCAACCCACCAGAGTAAATTTTAGGAATAGTAGTATAGGGGAGTAAAGTTGACAAGAGGAATTTGCCAAAAATACTTTCTCATTTCAAACCGTCTTTAACCAATAGAGTGATATAACTAGATAGCCAGACAGCCAGATAACCAGCATAACTTGGGTATCATTTAGCTTGGAAAGTTTGTGAATATGTCACTAACCCCAAAAATGAGTAGAACATTAAGATGAACATACCTGGTAACAAGGAAAGAAAAATCAGAGACAAAAGGATTTGAACTTAAATGGTTGCATAATTTCAAAGATTTACATTTGTTTTTAATAATTTGCAAATCAGATTCTTTAAAAATTCTGAAATTCACAAGGATGTCGCCAGTTTAGTTTCATGATGGTCTGTCTGTCTGTCTATCTGTTTTTTTTATATAACATGTAGACATTTGAGGTATTTGACTTTGGATGAATCTATTTTTTTTTTCCTTTTCAGGATGTTGTTTGGGGATTAAACTCTTTATTTACTGTAAGTAACAACCTCACTGAATGAATGTGCATTTTGATTAATTTGCTACTGTAATAACTGCCTCTAACTGTCCTCACAATTTCCAAAACCTGCATTAGTCTATTGATCCGAAATCTACCAAGTTTCTTGTAACATTTGAAAACTAACACATTTATTATGACATAAATATTTTTGGGCTAGAGTCTCCTTTATCAGATGTATGTGATGAAGTGGGCTCTAGTAAAAAAAAACAAAAAACAACCCTGGCATTTCATCAGCCCCATTTTTACTCCCTCCCAAGTTACAGGGCTGAAAATCAGTAAACCATCAAAAATGACCCTCCCCCCAAAAAGTATGTATTTCTGGGTAAGACACAAACACAAAGCAAAACAAATCCCCCATGCCTAATGGAAACCTGAGCTCTGGCCACTTGTGCAACATGCAGCAATAGCAACAAGAGCCCCAGAGCTTAATCAGAAGAGATGGAGCTTGGCTTTCCTCTCAGGTAGCCTATTCTCCACCGTGGTCTGATTCATGATGATGGTTCTGTGCCTGGCAGCATCCCGCATGGAGCATTCCAGAACTGTGACTTTGGCAAGAGCTCTGCCTGAGCCTCTTCTTACTGCATACCATCTAAATGCAGCTCCTGCTTGTTTCTCTTAGTTTTTTTAACCACATCTCTGTAACTTCACCAACACTCCTGTGATCTTCAAAAAAAAAAAAAAATCTTCAAATTTTATTTTAAATTGTTTCTGTTCCTTCCAGTCTTTCAGTTAGTGTTTTCTCACTTGGGTTTGTTTGTTTTTTGCTGCTTTGCTTCTTTGCTGTTAAGCACTTTGGCTTTCATGACCTGTAAGGGGCCTTTCTGCAAGTAGGCTCAGTATTTCACATGCTAGGTAAGCCTGACAGAATCACCCATCACACTTACAAAGCCCTTCTCTAGGAATCAGCACAAGAGCTCCAGAAGCCAGCTTTTGTTTAATGCTCCTAAATGTGTGGTCTAGTTGTTCACTGTGCCACTTCAGACAGGAGACAGTTGATACCCATGCAAATAGGTCTATTTCTGATCTACTATAGTTGGCTAGGAGAATATAAAAAGATGCTGACTTTTTGTCCCTTAGTTGTGTTAGCACTCTTCTTCTTATGCTTGGAAGTATTACTGTATTAATGCTTCTGACATAGGAGGACAGGCTTCTCTGCAGATACACTTCACCAATTGAGACACATTGTTCCTGCATCTTTTCTGTACTCCCACTTCATTTTCCTTCATTACACTAAAGCTGAGCAATGCAGGAGTGGTTGTGGTTCCAGCATTGTACTTTTGGTTCTTGACTTACAGATTAGATTGGATAAATCCTATTGCTTGGTGATGTTACAGAGAATGACCTTTGTGATCTTGATCTTACCCACCTAAAATACATACGGTTTTTTAATAGGCTTCTGGATTAAATTATCTTTTATGCCATTTCTAAGTATAGTGAAAATGCTGAGTTAATGAAAGGGATTATGCCTTTCTTTTAAACACTTCCTCCCTAATTCTATCATTATGGTAGCCTTGCAATCACAAGAGTATTTCAACCAAAATACTATGGTTCAGGAGGCAAAGAGGAGGAGGAGGCTGGATGGAACATAAACATTTATTCCATTGGTTCATTCTCAGGGCATCTTCTCCTTTCTCCAATCTGTTGGATGATAGGAAGCAAATTGCTGATGTTTTGAGATGGCAAAGCAACAAATTAAGAAAGGTGGTCATGCAGATGGATTGCAGTGTGAAAGTGATAGTGAACTCTGTAGTATTTCATTGCTATTCAAGTGCAGGCAGATTGAACATAAAACACATGCAACAGACCTCAGTAGAACAAAAAAGCTGTGTAGGATTTCACATTTTAAATATATCCTGAAGCTCTAAATGCATACAACGCACACCAATGCACACTACACACACACCAAAGTTCAACAAACAAAACCAACATGGTAGTAGTCTTTGTATTTACAACATACAATATGACACCTTAACAGCATTAATATTTGTATAATACACACATGCCTTTGCATTTACATATGACTGCCAAACGCCCCCCTCCACACGACTGAGATATAATATATAACCCACATATAACCAACAACCCATAAAATCTTTAACTTCCCTATGACAAAAATTAATACATCTACCTTTCAGTTAGTACTGCAGCTGTATGTAGTCTTTTCTTGGGCTGAGGTCTACTGTCTAGATGTGCACACGCTTAACTGCACAGCGAGGGTCACTTGGCACTGCCACAGGGTGGACTGAGCAGGACTGATAGGAGCTCCCATTCAGTCCACACTGCAGCGATGCCAGGTGACCCTCACTGCTGCAGTTAAGCCAAGGTAAGCGGCTTGTGCTTTTTGCCCAGGACAGGGAGTCCTTTCCTAGCCTTGCAGTTGTAGCCAACCTCCTCTGGACTCCAGAGCCTCCTGCGCACAAAGGAGCACCTCCCTCCAAAAAACGTTTAATTTCCGTCCTCCCTCCAAAAAAGGTTTGTCTGTTGAATTTCAGGCTGCGTAGGATTCATGATCACTGTTAACTTTATAAAAATTTCAATTTTTAAATTAATAGTAATTAAAGTTTAAGTAAATTCAGAATACATCCAGAGAAGAAGGAAAGAATGGGGAAAAATGAAAAGGGGGGGGCTATCTAAATGTTCTTGGGACTTGTGTGGAGAACAGATCACATTTTAGGTCATATTTTTGGAAAAATATTGAAAATTCAAGAGTTCACCAACTTTTAAGCGCCACTGTATAATCTGTAAGCACATATGTCTGGATCCGGTTTAATGTAGTGGGGTAAGGCACCAGGCTAGAAATCGGGAGACTGCAAGTTCCAGTCCGGCCTTAGCCAGCTGGGTGACTTTGGACCAATCATTCTCTCTCAGCCACTTCTAAATGGCAAGTCACTTCTGAAAAATGTTGCCAAGAAAACTGCAGGGACAATTGCTAGGAGTCAAAAATGACTTAAAGACACAACTTTTAAGCATGTTATGTGGCATACTGTTCTACTTTCTACACTTTAACTAAGAAATATGAAAACATTTTAACATGTTGCTATTACATGTATTTGCAATTTACGCAAATTGTGTATTGTGTCTCACAAATTTATACTTGGTTTAGGAAAAACTGCACAAAACTTTTTTTCTACACATGGCTTAATAGAAATTAAAGAGAACGTTGTCCAGGAGAAGCAGAAAGTGAATTTATACCAGGTCTCACTGACACTTTGCTATCCCTCACTTCCTACTTTTTTATCACTTTTGCTTCTATGTCTATCTTGGATTGTTCCTGTGTAGTCATTTACATCCAAACTTAACTTAGCAATAGATAGAATTTCTTATCTTACTACCCAATTAAGTCTCTCCCTACCATGCAGCCTTTCTTACTATTAGGTAGATTATTGTTTGACTCACAGGCTTTGATCCTTCCCTTTCCATATTTACTGGTGAAATTATTGTCCATGACTGTTATGTAAACGAATGACATGAATAGAATTTGTTTCCACTCATGTTGCTTACTGAAATTCAAGTGAATCCTTATGTATCTATGTTTCTTAAATAGGAATGTTTATTATGAGGCTCTAAAAGACCGTAGCAAACAACTAGACAGCAAACTTAGTTGGCAAGAAGTCAAGAAAGTAATTTATATTTCCACAGTGGCCAAATGAGGATTATTCACAATTATCTGAAAGAAACAGTACATACATATTTCGGATACCATAGAAAATAAGTGTTTTGTTTTAGTTGGTAAAAATGGCTGATCTGTATGTATTCCACATACATTTCAAGCATTAAGCCATTTGGCTTTAAAAGATTTCTTTCTGCCTCAGTTTGCATTGTTTCTCATTGCAACCAAAGCTTGTTAGCTTCAATTTCCTATACTGTTTTTTGATCCTAGAAAATCCATGCTTCCCAAAGTCCCTGCATAAGATACTGCTTTTTAGACTCTTATTTCATATACAGGTGGTCCTCGGGTTATGACCACTCGTTCAGCAACCATTCAAACTTACAACAAGGCTGAACGAATGATAGTTACAACTGGTCCTTAGAGTTCTGTCCGTTGCAACGTCCCTTCAGTCACATGATTGCAGCAAGCTGCAGTCACATGATCGCAGGCAAAGTCAATGGGGAAGCCAGTTGGAAGTCAAAAGTCATGGTCACATCAGGTCCTTGCTTAACGACCCGCATGGTCCTTGCTCAACAATGGCAACTGGAATTACCGGAACTGCCTTCACTAAGCAATGCAGTCATGTGATGTTGCTTAAAGCATTAAGACCATGTTGCTTAATGACAGCAATTCCGGTCCCAGTTGCCATCGTAATCTGAGGACTACCTGTACTTTCTTCACTAGTTAACAGTTGCTTTACTACTCATTGCCACTTCTTATTTATCTGTTTTTCCAGACAGATGTTGTATCACTCGTTTATTTTGAGTACCATCTGGCATATTAGAACACCTAAGTCAAATTATGTTGCTTCAAAACCAAGGTGTGTATTTTATTTCAGATCAAAAATAATCTATGTTGTCCTTCTGCCCCTGGAATAAATCATATTCTACAGTAAAAATGCAGAAGAATCCTGTATGACAATGGAAATGACAACCTACTGAAGTCTATAAAATCCTGCACAGTGTACTAACTTAGATCTCTTAGATCCTACCTGTGTATTTGCTTTCTACCAATTAGCATCCATGCCCAACAACATATGACATGGAATATTGCCTTTGGGTCCCATAATGTTCTTACAGGGAACACCCCCATTCCAACATCAAGATACGCTGCTACCAGGAAAAGAACTGATGAGAAGAGATATCACATCATTCAGTATAAGAAGTCTACGCTTATCATTATGGGACTGGCAGCAGAATTATATTTCCAAAATAAATTTAAAAGTAATAATGCAATTTCTGATCAAGTAAAACCTGGTTTCAAAGTACAGGTAGTCCTTGAGTTACGAAGGTAATTGGGACTGGAATTTCCATCGCTAAGCAATGTTGTCATAAAGCGCAATGTCATGTGACTTCATCACTTAGCGATGGCAATCCCGACATTCCCTGTTGCCAACCGAATTCCACCAGTCATTAGCTGAGGACCCACCCCAATCCAAGCCATTCCAGGCTTGGGTCCTTCCAGCCCCAACCTTGGTTCTTCCAAGGTAAGGGACTGCCTTCCCTTCAACTCCCCCCAACAGCCTATTCCCCTGATCTCTGCCCCTTTGGCTGCCCTGCACCCTGCTTTGTGGGGTGGCAAGCAGCCACAGTACCGCATGGCTCTGAGGCTGCTTGCCATGCAGTGGCTCGGGCTTCTTGGTGTACTGAGACTCTGGAGCTGCCAGAAGTGCCTGAGCCGCAATGCAGTGCAAAGCCACAGCTGCCCCTGGAAGCCACAGCCACAGCCTGGCCCAGCAGCATGTTGCAAAGCTGCAGCACCCTGGGAAGCCACAGCAGCGTGGCTCAAAGCCACAGCCACCCTGGGGACCCCCAGCCAAGCTACGGTTGCCCTCACCACCCTGCACTCTGAAGCCCCTACCACCTTACACTCCACCGCCCCAGCTGACCTTTGCTGTTTTCTTGCTCCCGCTGCTGACGAGGTGTGCCCATCCTGGCGCTTCACAAGGTAGCTGCTGGCCACGTGAGGCCATCTTCCCCAGGTCTCACGAGGAAACTGCTGTGTGTGACCTGGGGAAGAAAGCCTTGTGCAGCCTGCAGCTGCCTTGCAAAGAGCCAGGCTGGGCATGCTTGGTCAGCGGTGGGAGCAAGAAGACAGCGAAGGTCAGCTAGGGCAGCGGGACCACGGAGTGCAGGGGGCCAAAGGGCCACATGGGGGTAGAGAGGTGGGTGGGGGGAGTTGAAGCACTCCTGCAGTTGTAAATGCAAGTGGGCTGCCATGCGTCCTAATTTTGATCATGTGACCAGCAGGGCATTGCAGTGGCTGTAATGTCAGGGACTGGTCGTAAGTCCCTTCGTTCAGCACCACTGTAACTTTGAACGGTTGATGAATGAATGGTTGTTAAGCGAGGACTACCTGTAACCACTATCTTCTAAGGTATTTGTTTATTTGGGGAAGTAAATAAAATTAAAATAAACAAATGCTTATAGAAATAACACTGATGTCAGAATATAACATTCTGTATCATTTCCAGCATCATCTAGTACAGTACAAAAATCTGATAAATTCACCTAAATCTTGGTCAGATAATCTGTTTCTGCAGAGACCATATTTTCTCCTTAGTGACATGAATTGATCAACTATTTTTATCCATGCATAGTTGCTTATTTGTTTGCTGCTAGAATGGAATGTTCAGGCATTTTGGACATTTTGGCATCTGTTGAATTTAGCTAAAATTGATGTCTGTTCAATACATGTTTAGGGTAACCAGATGAAACTGGCTTTAAAAAAATATGCCTGGAATTACAGCGCATGTCTCATTGAAATGAGTGTTATATCAAGCAACTAATCAAAGTCCTGCATAACTGCATGTACGACTATTCATAAACAAGTCCCATTGAGTTGTTCCCATAATGTTTATAGAATTATAGTAAATTCATTATTAAAACAACATTAGAACATCAAAATGTTATTAAAATATGAAAATTTGAAAAATATTTGGAGCCAAATTTAATAGGGCCACTCAGTTTTCAAAAAATGCCCAAATAAACAGGTAGCTTCCAAAAATCCAAAGTGAGGAGGCATCTATTCCAAAGGTTTTGTCCTGCTATGGAGAAGGCTTGCTGGAGGAGATCCTAGTAACCTCTTGTTACTTTGGGGCCTATCTGCTAGCGCACACATGAGCATGTGCAAATGAACACATGCTCAGAAATGTAACCATCCCAGACAGGTAAAATACATGTATATGAACCCTATATGCACACATAAATACATCCTCATACACACACATACAGATACTCATCTTTGTACCTGCCCTGTCACATATGTACACAACCTCCATAATCATGTATCTGATTAAATGACTACTTTAATCATTTGTAGCAGCACAGCTGTTTTGAGCATTTTCTCTGGAAAGAAATTCCTGCAGGGTCTCTGCCAGTGGCAATGGTAACACTGCAGTGCGCAGTCCATTTGTCTGGCTGCTGGCTGGCTGGCTGGCTGGCTGGCTGGCTGTCAGTCATATTTATATAGATGCCCATCTCACAGATTTGTAACTCTGGGCAGTGTACAATAAAAGGCAATCATAAAAAGCTAACAGTTAAAAAAAATTAATTAAAAAACCAAGTTACCAAGAATGGAGTTATTTCCGTTACTGGAAGGCATAGGGTAGCCATGAGATTCCCAGTGATGGAGGATCAGGGCATGCAAAGTTACAAGTGAGGGTATGTCAGGAGATTAGCAAGCATATATTCTACAGGTACCACAGTGCAAACTCCCAACCTAAAATCACTGTTAGATCCCAGTCATTTGTGTTGTCTTTGCCAGATTTCTCCATTTTTTTCTGCTTATCCAGTTACTGTAGAGCTTGTGCGGCTGAACTCTATTCAGTTTCCTTTCTTCCCTTCAGTCACCACTCAGCATTATTACCTAAGAAAGGACTCTAGAAATGTTGTCCTTCCTGTGCATACTCCAGTCAGTTCTCTTACCTCTTTCTTTGTGCTAACATCTTACTAGGCAAGCGAGAGTGAATGATGATTATTCAGCTCCAAATAGCACCAGTAATCACAGAGAAATAAAAACTATGGTCTGATAACTTGATTGCTGAGTGTGATACTGCTAAACTAGGCCCTTATTTATCTATTCCTTCATGCCATCTTTCCTCAAGGAACTAAAAGGCAGTGTACATTGCACTCCATCTCCCAATTTTTCCTCACACTGACAATTTGGCAACAGTGCGGTTGGCCCAAAATTATTCAGTGACCATCCATAGCCCTTGAATATATACAGGTATTAAATATTAATTTAGTATAATTCATACCTTTTATTTATATATAAAATATTTAAACTCAGTGAGATTTAAAGAGCTAATTTTGACAGCCTAACAGTGTATATTTCCCAAAAAAGATTTTGATACCACTTCAGTTTGAAAATCAGCTTGTTTTTCAATGTTGCCATTCCAGAAATAGAGACCCAAACAATCATAACTTACAGCTTGCCTTTAAAAAAAAAAAACCCTTATTTTGTGCTTTTTAGGATCTCTTGAATTTTGATGATCCTTTAAATATTGAAGCTGCAGAACATCATTTACGTGACAAGGTGAGTAGCAATGTATTGAAAATTACAAGAATACTGCTCATTTCTTAAAAATTCATTTGATAGCTTTCAAAACATATTGGTAAATTAATATTTATAATGTATCATAGTCCATTTTCATAATTGGCTTGGAACTGTTTATTCCATTGTATAATGGAGAAACAGACTGGCTCCAGGTGAGGAAAGAAGTGAGACAAGACAGTATACTTTCTCCTTATTTTTTCAGTCTATATGCTGATTATAGATTGGATTGGAAAAATATGAGTGTGGTTTTAAAACTAGAGGAAGAGTTAATAGCCTGCTGATGACATTGGTCTGATAGCTGAAAATGCAAATGACCTGCAGGCACCACTAATGAAAGTCAAAGAGCCCAAGTGAAAAAATGGGACTAAGATTAAATATAAAGAATACCAAGCAAACAGACAGCTGTCGTATAACATGCTGAAATTAAAAGAGGATGAAACAGCTGAAGAAAATTATGGGTGAAAGGAATTTGAAAATTGACTAATGAGAATTTCTGTTACCTGAGTTGGTTTAATTAGCTACATTGAAGGAGGTTTAGCTATAAGACTTTGCAATTTATACTAATTTCCTGCAGCTGAGAAAATTAAGTAAGTTGTGACAAAAAGTAGTGATGCGCAAAGAAAACACCAGTCCTTCCTGAGAATTAGAGCAAGCTGATTATCTGAAATTAGGAGGGACCATAACAGCACTTTTCTCCTTGTATGAATCTACAGATCATTTGGGAGCCCCAAAGTCAAGAAACTCATAATGGTTGCTAACTGGAACAAAAAACATTTATTTTTAAAAGCAAAAAAGTCTCAGGACTGTATAAGGTAGAAAAGGGTAGAAAAGCTAGTTTCGGTACTGTGGGTATGCTTTTGCTTGCTTATTGCAAAAACATAAAATTCCACTCCCCTATTTCAAACAAACAAACCTACTGTCAAAAGCAATATAACACAGCACATGTCTTTGTACATCTCGCATGTGGATGATATTCCTGCATAAAGCCAGTGTTGGAATCTCGTAGAGCTATGCAGGAAGTTTGCTAGGAAGCTCGCCCATTCTGTACATCCATGTGGCTGGGGTTACCAGCTTCCTTTCAGTTTGGTGTTTGCTCTTCTGTAATGCTCAGATAATTGTTTGCTTTTTGTTTTTCTGCATTATTCCAAAGAAACATACAACCATAGAATCATAGAGATGGAAGAGATCGTTTAGGCCATCAAGCCCAACCCTCTGCTCAGCACAGCAATCCAAATTAAAGCATCAAAATATGGTTACCTAATCTCCACTTGAAAACCTCCAGTGACTGAGAGCCTAACGCCCCTCCTAACAGTCAGAGGCTGCCTTCTTGTTATTTAAAACATTTGTTTGTTTGTTTTGGTTGTAAGCGGCTCCATGTCCTGTACTCTAGAATGAGAAAGCCTTTTTTGTGATATCCTGTCAGATACTTATAGAGTGCTATTATACCCCCCTCAGTCACCTTTTCTTAAACCTAAACATACCCAGCTCTTTCAATCTCTCTTCATAGGACTTCATTTCTAGTTAGGCACAATACTCAAGGTGGAGTCTGACCTGCAGAACAAAGTGGAACAATTACTTCCTGTGATTTGGAAATTATACTTCTGTTGATGGAAACTAAAACTGTATTTGCCTTCTTTGCAGCCATATTACACTGCTCGCTCATACTCAGCTTGCAATTAACTACTGTTCCCAGATCTTTTTCATAACTCTAATTCCCAAGCCAGGTCTATCCCATGACAGTGCATTTGATTTTCGTTTTCTAAATGAAGAATTTGCACTTGCCTCTATTAAATTTGGTTTTATTGGTTTCAGCCTGTTTCACTAACCTAACAAGATTTAACCTATGTTTTCTAGGACATGCTTTCCCACCCCATTCTGAGTTATCTGCAAATTTGATAAGCATTCCCTCAACCTCTTTATCCAAGTCATTATTAAAAATACTGAAGAGAACCCAGGACTGATATTTGTGGCACCCCACTCATATCTGTCTCCAGTTTGATGAGAAGCTATCAATGGGCACTCTTGAGTATGATTGAGAAACAGCTATATATCTACTTAATTGTCATATCACCCAGACCTCACTTTACCAAGTTACTCATCAGCACATCACTGAGTATTTGTCAAATATTTTGCTGAAGTCCAAATATATTGCATCTTTCCAGAAACTGTTAAGGAAGCTATCCAACCAAAAAAGAGATAACATTAGTCTGAAAAGATTTCCTCATGCCAGATCCATGCTAAACTCTGGTAATTATTTTATCATTTTCAAAGTGTTAACTGATCTCTTTATGACTTCTTCTAGAATGTGTCAGAATCACATTCTAGAGGAAGTTGGTTTCTAATTTGCAAACTTCAAATTAGATTGGTCTGGATTGCATACTTTTGTTTAGATTTGTCGTAATAGTGAGTCACAACTATCTTGGCTCTCTTCTTACATGGGATCCTTTCTGCCTGTTAGAGGTCCACCGTTGTCTCCCATTCTGCAGTGTCTCCTCTCTTCCTTTGAATGCACGTTCTGTTTTATGTGCAAGAGCCTGAAAACTGTTTTTGAGTTTCTGCAGCACAATACATCTTCAAATTCTCTTGCTTCTGGTTGTTACTCGCATCTGCTGGGCTTGATCCTGTTAGTTTCTCCTGATGCACCTCCTTTTTTGAATTTATAAATTCTTGTTCTTTTTCATCAAGTGAAGTGTGGCCATTCAGCTCTCCATCTTTTGACTTTGTCTTCAAGGGCTGCTACATGTTTTCAGTTGCTGCAAATATATATCATGTTATTTTCAGGCAGAAAAGCCAACAAGTGGTAAACATGACAGCTCCCAATTGCAAACTCTGGTCTGTTCATCTTTGTGGTTTGTTCTTAGGACCCACTAGTTGAAGTGCTGGAAAATGTGTTGGAGACACGCCCATCAGTTTCTCTTTCCCTGTTCTCTTATTCATCCTTTACCTCAATTATCCTTCAGGTAATGTCAGTGGTCTGTGCCTCTTAACCATCCTGTATGGCTTGTGACCCTGTGGAAATTCGGAAAGGGTTCTAAGTGTAATGGGTTTTTGCTAACTGAAGGAGTTATTCAGTGGAAAATCAGTAGCCGGTCTGGGAGAGGACTACACCGTGGAAGCTTGCCCATGTTGTCAAAAATTAACTGAACAGGTTAGATAAAAGCTCTTCTCAGCTTCAGGCACTGTGAGAAATAGCCTTGATTGTGACTGTCCCATCTTTGATACTGACTGACTTGGACTTGATCTTAATGGCCTTGTGCTAACATGGCCTTTGTTCCCATTAGCCCTGAGGGAGTTGGGTTCAGCCTTTGCTCTGCAATCAGGGAGGTGCCTCCCTGCCACCCCACAGAGCTCTTATAGCTTCTTCTACCACAGGAAATTGAGAAGAAACACTTTGAATGGTTTCTTCTTCAATAGCGTCCCAGGAAAGAAGGAAAAAAAATCTCACTCATCTTTGAGTCCTCTGGGGCCCTCAGTAACCTATTTACCTGTTTCAGGTGAATCTCCCCATTATCGAGAACAAATCCCCACTTAAAAAAAGCTTGGGAAAAGTGCTACACCATTAAAGATAGTAAGATCAGGGAGCTTTGGTTTTAAGTTTAAAATGGCAAGCTTACTTCTTCTTGGTCAAAAATTATTATAACCGCAAAGAATGTCCTCATTTGTGGTGGGCATGAATCAAATAAACAACAGCCAACAATAAAGGATAATTTTCTCGGGAAGCCAAGATCTGTAGACAAACCTATACTTCCTGCCTCTGGCTCTGTCGGTCCTGACTTTGTTGAGAGTGCAGATAAATAGTACTCTATCTGTAATAGGTTTAATTGTTCTTTAGCTTTATTCAATTCTCTCAATACCTGTTGCTTGGGGTTAGTTTTATGAATTTGTTCTAGCTCTTCTACTTGTGATTTCTATATGTTATATTCTTTCCTTTGAACTGTTGCAAACCTCATAAGAATTACTTTCATATAAGCTTTACTTGTCTCCCATGTTGTTGTCTCTGATGTTCTTTATATTTCTGTAATTTACATTCTTGGAGTAACAACCTGTCACTCATCCTCTATTTAAAGAATGATTTTTCTTCTGTTATTAAGATTGGGATATGATCCGCATGTATCAGTGAGAGGAACTCTGTTTCTTTAATGGGTTGGAAACCCAACCCATATCAGTTCTGGAATATGTTTGGTGCCTTGCTGAGTAAAATGTGTAGTTCCTTGCTTTTGGATGTTGAAGTCTCCAGGCATCTGCAAAGCCAATAAGTCCATATACTGATAGACTTTGGGGAGAGCTTTCCTCCTTTTTTTCCCTGAAATTATTTGTCCAAGTTTACATCTAACACTCTATTTTCCTTTTCCTCTTTTCTGTTTTGGATTTAATTCAGTGCTGCTGCTGTTCCTAATTTTCCTTTTTTTCATCTCCAATATCCTTTCCAGAATCAAGAAGTTCTTTATCCAAAGAGTTCATTTTTCATATAGGAAAGAAGCCTCTGAAGTCATCATAAATAATATATTTTTTATTACCAAAAAAACTTGCAGTGCAAATGGAATTCATCTGTAATTAATTTGGTTGGTTCTTAGTACACTTGTGAGAAATTCAAGATCTTTTATTTTTCTTAGCACTCTTGGAGAGACATCTTGAAATATTTGAATTTACTTTCCTTCTATAATCAAAGGTATCTGAATCTACCATTTTAAAATACCCTCTCCTATGTAAGAATCTGGTGAGGATGTCCTAAGGTATTTTTCTTCTTTGTGCAGCTTTTGAATATGTCCTAAAAATATAGTCAATATCTGGAAAGCTCTATTTTTAAATAATCTTGTATCAAGATTTTGAAACAGGCTTCAAAATCTACCTTTCCAAAATCTTCAGGGATGCTTCTGAATCTTAAATTTGTTTTTGCTGAAGTTTTAAAGTATCTTTTCTTTCCATTTCCTGACTTTTCAGATCTGAGCTTCCAATTCTTGTTTCAACCTTTCTGGTCTTTCTTTTAATTTTATCTCTTAAAAGGGCCAAGGGCCAAGATGGAAAAAAGCTTCCACCAGCAGCTGCTATTGTCCCGCCTCCCAATAACAATAAACAATAAACTTTGTATATTGGTCTGCCTGTCAAAGGAGGAATTTAAAGGGCCATTTTTAGAATTGGTATCTGCTGTTGACATTTACTTAAAATTTTCCATTTTGTCAGAAAGTACAATCAAGAATATCTTCATGAGGATTCTCACCATCAGATATCTAATCCAAAGAGAAATCCAAGTAGTTCAGAAAATCAAATGGATTTATGCATAATTTACATTTCTTTTTCTAAAGCTTTTCATTTTTGCAGTGTCTTTTAACTTATTCCTTTAGGTTTTTATTCCTATAGATGGAATTCATTTCTACTTCTCTCATTATATAAGGGTCATACAATTTTTTGGGCTAATTTTGAATGTTGAGAGCATCTTTCAGAAAGTAGCTGCTGCATGGAGAAGCTTGCTTACTCATAAAAGATCTGCTACATAATAGGGTGGCCACTCATAAAATATTCATTTATCAGAAAGGTAACTTGTGATATTGTTCCACAATAAGATGGACATTTCAGCAAAAGTGAGGTGTCAGCCCATCTATTAGGGAGTCTGTGGGAAAGATGATCAAACAACTCACAGAGACCCCACCTTCATAAATGAGGGTTGGAGGATATTTATCTAGTTTCAAGATTCTGTAACCTAACTCATTTTTGCTGGGGTTAAACCTAATTAATGATAATTGGGGAATTGGGTCATGCACTGCAGTTAAATGATTAAGAGTTAATGGGACTGTTTAGCTGCCTTTCAAGTTACCCAAATGAACCCAGTCCTGTTGGTCTTCCATTGTCAATTTGGAAAACATATCCTGACTGACAGGTTGGTGGGGCAGAGGTGGATACAGAGTGGAGTAGGGAGGAGTGCAAGTATATAGAGCTGCTGCTTGCATAATCCCATGCCCATCCTATCAGCTACATTTTTCTCCCACCATACATGGGAATACTGATTTTCTGGAAAACTGGCATCCCCATGGCAATAAATTAGTATCTCAGCTCACAGGTTGATGCAGCAGAGATGGGGTGGACTGGAATGAGATCCAAATACATCAGTTGAACCCCCTCCTTCCTATCAGTTGGAGCGGAGCTCCCAAGCACATTGTCACAGTGAGCTCAGACTCAGAGGAGGAGACTGACAATGAGCATCCTACTCAGGTGAGCCACCACCTGAGGACCTGCAGGCAGTTGAGGTGGGGCTGTCCAGTAATCAACAGTAGCAGCTGTCAATCTCGGAAGACATGGAGTCTGAGTTTTCGCCTGCCCCCAGCACAAGGCCTGGGACAAGACCTGGCCTGGGACAAGACACACATGAACAGAGCTTGTTCCTACTTCATTCCACACCCCTCCAAGTTCTGTCAGCCAGGAGATTTTTTGGGGAACACAGAAACCCTGATCCTCCAGTAGACCAATATTCTCATGTCAACAGAACATTCTGACTGAGAGATTGGTGAGGCACCACTGACCTATCAACTGGGATACTAATTTTTCTTTACTTTTTTCCCCTTCCCTAAGAGAATGGTACAAGTGGTTCTTGTTTAGTGACCACTTGTTCAGTGACCAATCAGACTTGCGACAACCCTCACCTTTTCCCACCTGTATCTGCGTGTGCATTGTGCTCATGTGCTCAAAGTCCCAGCCGTCATAACTGCCCCTATGGTCATGCGAGTGCCATTTGCAATGTTCCCTGCTGGCTTCCCACAAGCAAAGCCAATGGGGAGAGTTGGCAAGAAGTTGGAAGTCGCAATCACGTGAGATCCTCGCTTAACATCCTGCGTGGTCCTTTTCTATAGACAGGTCTAATGGTCTTTTGAAAGCAGAATACCATACATGTATTTAAAAACAGGTCTCTCAGAAGATTGGTAGACCTATGTACATAAGGAGCCCATTTAATACTTCACCAGGGGTTCTGAAGCCCTAGTGAGGTATTACAGAAGCATAGACTTCTGCGGAGCCAGTCTCTCTAACAGCCCAAGACCAAATGGCCACAGAAGGCAGTGCCCAGCAACTAGACATGGAGAGAGCATTATTAACTGGGCAGATCCTTGTCCAGCATCATCACTGAGGCATCATAGCTTCTATGGCACGATTTGTGCAAGGAGAACAGAGAGAAAACCAGTTTAATAACAAAACAATTTCAGACTGTCTCCATAAGAGGCTGGAGTAGAGAGAGAGATGCCATTAAAACCATTAAAATACCTTCCTGCGATGGTAGGTGGAATGTGAAGATGAATCCTAGCTGGTAAAAAAAAAGTTATATTCTCTAGGCAGACATCTAGTACAGTAGCAGCTAATTTTAAAGGCACCTGAGCAAGATATTTTTTGGGGGGGACGTGGTGGCGCAGCAGCTTAATGACGCTGAAAGTTGCCGGCCAGAAATGGTCGACGCTTCAGCGGTTCGAGTCCAGCCTTC